CCCGGAAAACACCAAATCTTTCACTCGTGGGCCGTGTGTAATGATTAACAAGAATGCTAATGACGCGTTATTCCCCTACCATGCAGATATATTGGCGTTCTGAACGTAACGTTCTCCAAAGGCCCAAAGCGACCAAAGAATAAACCCGATGAGACCGCCGTTGAAAGCGGAACTGGCCCCTCCACCTCCACACAAAACGATGCTGAGAAAACCCCGCAGGTTTCGAAAGAGACCAAAGACGTAGAAAGTCCGCGGATTTTTAGCCAATCGCAAGTTACAGGGGTCATTCCGAAGGTGATTCTGGAGAATAACCGACATATAATTCCGTTAGATCTGTTTACTTCTACCGAGTCCCCAGATAGTAGAGATACTTCTGGGACTGGAAAAACTGCGGCTAAGTCGGCATCAGCATCGACCACCGGTGCGCCTCCTCTAAAGAGGCATGGAGCCAGCTGGGGCGCGACAACTGTGAATACAAAACTACAGGAACAGGTTCTCCGGGAAGTTTTTGCGCCGCCGCCAATCCACCATCATCGGCGCCACGCTCGTGGACATAATTCCCTATCCAGGTTGCGGGCTGAGACCTCGCGAAGACGAAAAAATGCTTCCATGGCTCGTCAGTCTTCACAGAGCGACAGTTCTGTTCGCACTGTGCGCGAAGGATCGATGCCCCCTCTTCGAATGAATCGGGACGAAGACAAGAAGGAGACCAATTTATTGTCGTCTGTCTCCACAGTTGTGAATGGGGATACCCATGCGCTGGAGAAAATCTATACCGAAGAAGCACCCTATCGTCCCAAAGTCTTGGCGCCCACCACCTCACGAACGAGGCGCCGTCACTCTGGTAGCGGACTTGAAAGACAACGAAGCATGAGCAATGGTAAAGCTGGAGACCTGGTTTATTTTGATGACGATGGATATGGTGGGGATAAGGAAGATGAAATCTTCAGAATGGAGCCGGAAGCGCTAACCCACCCTGCTTCCTCGCAACCCGTCACGAACCCTGCCCTTGTTTTCGACGATGCTCCTTCTGGTGCTCATGAAAGCGAGACAACGTTAGAGTTAGCGACTCCACTCCAGAACAAGAAATATCCTGTCACTCTGGAGACTTCGGCTGGGGGCCCTGTGCGTCTCCCTGTCAACCCCAAAGAAGCACAGACGACGCGGGATGAACGGGTTAAGTTCTTCCTACTTCTTGAAGACCTTACTGCTGGAATGAATAGGCCGTGTGTACTCGATCTAAAAATGGGTACCCGCCAGTATGGAATCGAGGCCGATGAGAAAAAGAAGAAATCTCAGAGGCGCAAGTGCCAAACTACTACATCGCAGCAGTTAGGAGTACGGCTTTGTGGGATGCAAGTCTGGAATATCAAGAAGGAAGAGTATCTGTTCGAGGATAAGTATTTCGGCCGTGACCTCAAGGCTGGACGACAGTTCCAGGACGCTCTCACAAGATTCTTGTATGATGGGGTTAGTTACTCGAGCGTCACCAAGAAGATTCCTATTATCCTTGATAAACTTGCTCGACTAGAGAGTATGGTGCGGCGACTCCCCGGTTACAGGCTTTACGCCAGTAGTCTCTTGATCCTCTACGATGGAGAAAAACCTGTGGAACAAGAGAAGCCCGACGCCACGACGACGACAGTTGATCGTGACTTTGCAACAAAACAACAAAATAAGAAGAAGGGAACATCCCTAGTAGATGACAAGGACGGACAGAACAGTTTCGGCCTCCGCGTGAAAATCGTCGATTTCGCCAACTGCATCACAGGCGAAGATGGCATACCGCCCAATGCGCCCTGTCCACCCCGTAACCCGCATGACATTGACCGCGGATACCTGCGCGGCCTGCGGTCGCTCCGCATGTATTTCCAACGTATCCTAAGGGAGATTAATGATGAGGACTATGTGGAGAGGGGGGAAGGGGAGGGAATGGCGTTTTCGCGGCGTGGTGGGGCTGGGATGGGGGTTGGAAGGGAGAATGGTGGTGATGGGTATGATGGTGGGTTTTGGGAGGAGGGTGTTATGGATAGTGATCCCGGGGAGGTTAGTGTTTAGGTTTTGGTTGTTGAGTGTCTCGCTTCTCCCCGCCCTTTCCCTTCTTCGTCCACGTTCGCCCTGGATCGTGGGTTTTATTTCGTTGTGGGTATTCCTCGTTGGCAACATTTTTTTTTTTTTTACTTCTCTTTGTTAGTATGACGGGGTTTGCTCCGATTTCTCTGTTTTCTTATCCTTCATGACCGTTGTTTTCTTACGGGGCTTTTTCTTCCCTTTGCCGTTTTTGTTCTTCCTGTTTTTTTAAAAACCTACCTTCTGCCGCTTCTTATTCATACTTTTCTTATCTTTTCCCACCTTTTTTCCCCATTTTCCCGGTTTTTATTTATTTATTATGGGCTGATGGGACATGGGAAATGGACCGCATGGGACACGGAAACTGGCAACAGGATTTGGGACCTGGGATTCGGATTGGGTTACTGGGACGGAGTTTTTATTTTTATTAAATTTTTTTCGGAAATTCGGAAATTCGAAAAGAAAGCGTAACGTCAACAATAACATTAATAGCTCCTAGAATTGATGAAATGAAATGAAATGACACGGAAATTACACTATAGCATTGTTGTGCAGCACATGTACTCCGTATGTATGCCCGACAAGACATTGCGATATCGACCTGGCTCGGAGTTCGGAATAACCATGGCCGAACCCAAATAGGGAAAGCGTAGAATGGGTCGCGCTCTTCTGACGTCGGCTGCAACATTCCACCATCAAACAACCTCAACATCAGACCACCACCGTCGACGGGATAGGAGCGGACAGGATAAGACGGGATAGCAGAGAGGATAAGACGGGATAGCAGAGACTGAGAGACAACAACGACGACTCTGTTGAGAGAGGATTTGAGCATCCTTGCAAGCTACCGCGTTACCCATACCCTGCTACAGACAGGCGCGTTTAAAACCACAGCTCCAGCCTACATTTCTGTCTATCTTATCTATCCCGAATTGAAAGATGGAGCTACTTGTCTAATTTATTATTGGGTAGCTTTGCAGCTATGCATGCTGTGACTCTCCTGATATAATTATACTATTATATGGATCCTTGAAAACCCTCGAAGAGAGAGGAATGAGCCTCCCGCAGTGCAGCTGCTAAATAGTACAGTACAGTACATAAAGGCCAAAGCGAGGGATGTTCCCGGTGCATATTTAATCTAGATTCGGATCACAATATTGTCTTGTGTGTTTGGCCAACGCTACCACTGGACAAGAACAATATCTATATCTTACGCCCAATGATCTTGGGTGTCGTTCTGCGTTGAAGGTCAGACTGGACGTCATCCGTGGTGCTTTGTTTGGGGGGATTGTTGATTTCCCAGAAAAATACAATCCATACAACGAAGTGAGCGTAAACGTAACCTAGGCGTATCGACGGGGACGAAGGACATCGCATACGCTCTCTTCAGTTATAACCTCGCGAAGATCCGGGTTTCTTTCCCCATCCTATAACATGCCACCCTCCAATGATTCCCGGCATGCTAGAATCATCGATAAGCGAGATTTCGACATCAGTCGACCCTTGCTCCTTCGCGACACTGAGGACGAAGATGACGGTGATGATGCTTGTAATGTCGGCCATGGGACAAATAGAAGTGGGCAGTGTGGCTATGGTCGCAGCAGCAATGGCCATCCCGGTGACGACGACGATGAAGCTGGCTCTGACAATATAGAGCGGGATAGGAAGGCGTTGAATCGGCAGGTGGTTAGGATCCTGAGCTTTATATGGGGTGTTGGGAGTGCGTACGTTGGATATTCCTTTTCTTTTTTTCTACTTCTCTCCAAACCCTGTTTTCCCCTGGATTTTTCAATTGCAATTACGGGACTTGGGGTGGTTTTTGTTGTCGTTGGGATATATTCATAGGTTATTTGCTTCTATACATCAAATTCTAATTAATTGGCTGTTCCTTTGGCGGTATACGATGAAGCCTCTGCGCCGGAAGCATAACCGCATTCTCCCTCTACGCACCCCTCCTCCAAACCCGCCTCCATTACTCCCAGTTCCGCATCAACGCTGTGGCAGCCGCCGCGGCAGTTTCCATGTACCTCCCTGTGGCATTTTTCGGCTATCTCTGCGATAGATACAGCCCCGGCCCTATATCATTCATCTCCGCTTGCCTTTTCGGCCCTGGTTACCTCTTCGCGGCATTCACGTACAAATCCGGACCACCTGTTGACGCTGGCGGCACGGGCTGGCCGTTCGCGGTTATGCTTATGTCATTCGTTGGCGTGGGTGCTGGCACATGCTGCATGTATCTCGCTGCCGTCACGACGTGTGCGAAGAACTTCGGGCGTGGGAAACGTAAAGGCATTATGCTTGCCCTGCCCATTGCAGCTTTTGGACTTAGCGGTATGTGGCAGAGTCAGGTGGGGAGTCGTTTGCTGTATGAGCGTGGGCCGGACGGACAGAAAGGGGATGTTGATGTTTTCAGATACTTCCTTTTCCTGGGGATATTGTTGAGTGTCGTCGGGGTTGGCGGGACCTTTGCGTTGCGCATCGTGGGTGAGGAAGAGATGATCGATGAGGCGGTAGAGGAGTTAGAGAGGAGCGGGATAATTGGTGAAAGTGACTTTTTCCGCTCGAGGGAGGAGGTTCGGGCTGCAATATCTTCATCGTCAATGTCGTATGGGACTATGGACGGCACTACGGCTGAGACTGGGGTTGATACGCCACTCGAGGATGATTCTCAATCCCTCACTCTTTCGCGGGAGGAATGGCAGGATCACCAGAAGGAGGAGCGGAGGAAGAAGAACTGGCTCCTTAACCAGGAGACGAGGTTGTTCTTGAAAGATAGAACGATGTGGTGGCTTGCGGTGGGGTTCCTTCTGATCACTGGCCCTGGAGAGGCATATATAAATAATGTATGTTTTGGCCAGCATCCTATTTTACATCCTTGATTTTCCCTCTGCATCATCTCACTAACTCCCACAAAATGAAAAGGTCGGCACCATAATCCCAACCCTCACCCCTCCCTCATTCCCTCCCCACCTCTCACCTCCCGCTGGCGGGGCAGCTACCCACGTCACATCCATCGCCCTAACCTCCACCCTCGCCCGACTCCTAGCCGGCTACTTATCCGACATCTTCGCTCCATCCCCCGCACGACCCCACCTCCAACCTAGCTCACGCTCCATTAGCTTCAATGATCAACACGTCCCAAACCCCTTCGCCCGCCGAAACTTCTCCCGCCTAACCTTCCTCCTCCCCTCCGCCCTCCTCCTCTCGCTCGGCTTCCTCTGCCTCGCCACGCCTCTCTCCTTCTCTACCCCGCAAACCCTCCACCTAACCACCGCCCTCGTCGGCCTCGGCTACGGCGCCTCCTTCGCGCTTGTCCCCATCATCATCTCCGTCGTATGGGGCGTGGAGAACTTCGGCACTAATTGGGGCGTTGTTGCTATGTTTCCGGCGGCGGGGGCGGCGGCTTGGGGCGCGATTTATTCTGCGGGATATGAGGCGGCAAGGAGGGCGGGGAATAGCGATGGGTTTCAGCAGTGTGCTGGCTGGCGTTGTTATGGGTTCTGGGCGCTCGGGTGCACTGGTAGTGTTTGGGTGGCGATTGGGTTGTGGACGGTTGCGTGGAGGGGGTGGAGGCGGAGGGGGGTTGTGGTTTGATTGGGAGTGGGCAGGGTTTGGAAGTAAGAGTAAGTAGGGAGTAGCTATGACCGTGCTCTTGGATATTTCTCTTTTCCTCTGTAGCATCTCCCCATTTTGTTGTATAGAGGGGTTAGATATTTTTTACTTATTTTGGTTGGTGGATAATAGATAGATTTGGCTTGGTGGCTGGCTAGAGGAATTCAGGTCATTGTACTCTACTCTACTCTCTATAGATGAGATTGATAGATGGCTTAACATTTTCAGGAATAGGCAATTAATTACTTTGGTATCTCTGCATGTTACCTGTCTAGTCACAAGTGTCAATCTCACGATGCTTACACACCTGTGCACGCTGCGTTTGAATCGGGATAAAACGTACTCTACGGAGTACACTTGGTATATATAGCTAGAGGTATCCAGTACTTAAACCCGTCAGAACCAGGTTCGCTGTTATCGATGCTAAAGCAATGCATCTAACCTTTCATATTGAGATATGTCATAGGCGTTTGAGAAAGAAAGAAGATACCATTTCCCCAAGAAATGAGTAGAATACAAAAAGGGTATATATATATAGTTGTTCCAACCCTACTACTGCGACTCGAAATAATTCCAGTCCAAAAAAAATAAAACAAAACGGAGCATGAGTGTGAACTGCATTAGGTATAGAAATGTCTCCAATGCGGCGTGCCAGGGGTATACTTGATCTTATATGTAAAAATCGAACCATGAAGTCGGATGTAGATGTAGAAGTAGTAACAGTACGAGAGGGATCCGTGGTAGATAAAATTCGGAACGGACTTAGATATCGGTCGACGCTGGGTTCAAGCCGGTAAACACTTTATGTAAACGCTTGCTTATAGCAGGGCCGACGCGAGCATCTGTGAAGGCACCATTTCTATTTGCACATTTCTACATCGGTTTAGTTCATCAGTTTGGCTGCCTGGCATTGGGGTCACGGAATGTATGGATTGAGGCCTCGAAGGAAGGAAATCAATGCTTCGCGGTGGAAGAAATGGGAAATACGGAAATGACAGGGGTGCATGATATATACCTTTACGTCCTCCAGGAGCAGTGGCCCCTGCTCCTTCAATTGTCTCACTAGTTCCGCCACAGTGGGATATTGAGATGTTATCCCATACGATATCGGGGCTGTTACGCGCTGAACCTCCTGTAACATTTTGACATACGTATCTCTATTATCTTCACCCGACTTTACCTGGCCAACATCCATACAGAACGACGCGTCATGTAAGTTTATGAGCTCCTGCCGATAAGGTATCGTGGATACATGTTCAGTGAAATTCTTGATCCACTCTGCGGATTCACTTGGTGCTGTGGTGTGGTGAATCAGACATCCATGTTGCACTTGGAGCTGGAGCAAAGCGTCTTCGATGGCGTCGTCATCGACAGGTGGAGGTGGGGGTACCGTCTGTTTGGGCTTCTTTTGGCGTTTAGGTAGCTGTTGCTGTTGCTGAGGTTGGGAACTGCTTCCCAATTCTCGAAGAACTGATGCCTGGTAGGCTCGGTTCCTCGAATTGTTGTTCTTTCTCATCCATACGGATAAGCCCTCGATGAGATAGATTGGTTTGCACCCGGGATAAGTGCGTTTCATCATGAGGACATGGGAATCGAGGGTATTATCACCATTTGCGGTGGCTATTGACATGTCGACAAATTCCTGTGCTAATAGCAGACATAGAACGTGGTCTTCCGTTTTAATGGTTGGGGGACAGGGTTCCCAGTGCGCTTCCTTGTCATTGTACTGAGTAGTGACTTTCCTTCTCCATGTAACGATATTTGGCATGCGAGTAGAAATGAAATTCTTTTCCACTCCAAGATGTCGCATATACTCCGTTACTTGGTTGCCGACACTGGACTCCTCAAAGGTAGAGGACATGTCTATAATCATTTCTGGCGTGGAAATTTTCTTATCAAATTTCCGCTTGTTGGCTTCCGCAAGGTCAGCAGCTAGTTGTTTCTCTCTAGCCTTTTGCTCCTTTAAGTTTTGCTTTCGTTTTCTCTCTTCTTCTTTCTCCTTTTCACGGCGTTCCTTTGTAGCTTGTTTTTCTGCTTCCCGCATTTCCCTATCAGCGGTAGACGCCTTTGGCGCTCTTCTTGGTCTCGACGTTGGAAGTACCGACGGAAGGGAGTCATCATCTAAATCTATCCTCTGGCTTGGGTCTGGCACCCGTGTTCTAGAACTGGAGGATATCGATTTGGCGGCAGATGTGCTAGCACCCCTCTGCTTGGATTTGGTGGGTTCGACTGAGGAGCGATTTTGGATCCGCGCGAGTAGGCTCGCTGTTCTATCAGACAAATTGGCTTTCAAGCTGGCTGGTGGTGGGACATTCAGTGGACCTTCAGGGGAAGATAGCTCATCGGATTCTATGATACTGTCGTCTATTGTTATGACAGCAGGTGTTATTCTTGTATTCTTGTCTCGAATGTGCGCAGTTGTCGGATCAACGGCAGATGATGTAAATTCTATAGGGTCTGATATGTCGCCATTCCATGTACTATTCTTTGTCGTCGAATGATAATTATTATTAAAGTGAGGTATGGGCGAGGTTGTTATACTCCCATCCAAGTCAGAAAACAGCAGTAAAGGGTTTGTCTTCGGAGGAGGGCTCAGTTGCCTAGGTGGGCTCAGATAGCGCTGGTGGCTCAATCTGCGCTTCTTGGAAGGGTTTGAATCTTCCCAGTCGAAATTCGAATCATCAGAGAGGATGGTTATGCGCGCTGGGCGATCTGGCAGCTTCGATGAGACGTTTGGAGCTGGACTTGAACGCGCCCTCAAAGGTGGCGACGACGATAACAGGCTGATGACTTCCGGCATTATAGAGTCCTAGTCCGCAACCCTCAAACTGCGGTCAGTTGCGCCGTTGAAATTATACTAATTTAGATGAATTTCGCGCGTTCGCCATCGAAAGAGACGCCCAAGGTCATAACCTAAAATGCGGGCAACTGGAAGCAGCAGAACCTGTATATCCAAAACGAAGGCTATTAGTGAGTGGAAGGGAACGAAGAGAAACAAAATCCACGCCCCCCCGGTAATCGCAGCACCCTTCTTTGTGTGCGTTTCTTCGTGCCCTGGACTTGAACCCGGACAAACCAGTGGTTGTGTGTTGGATGTTGCAAAGGTTGGGAAGTTGAAATCGCGATAAATATTTAAGAACGCGTCGTCATGTGACTATTTTTCCCAAAAAGGAAACACACTCTGATTCACATGGAGGTAGGATTGATATACTCTGCTTTTACATTCTATGCCTCAAAATAATTACAAGCCGAGACGTGTTATACTACTGTGAGGTGTCAGCCATAACTATAAAATTCCTGACGCCGCAGGATGGGATTGGTGCGGTTCCCTTGTAGCGCAACTTCAGCCAATCATTACTCATTCACATTCAACTTCACCATTCACAATAAATAAGATACACCGTTGAAAAGCAAAGCCCTAGAGCGTTGGCGCTAGATGGAAATACATTCTCGTGAAGCGGTTCTGAACTAGGAAATTGGTATAGTACCGCTCGTCGGGGCCGCCAGGGGTTTTCGAACAACCAACCTAGAAACCTCTGCTGGATCCGATACATTGGCTAGGAGCACCTGGCATGCTCCGTTATTATACATGCCAGCAAATAACAGATAAAGGGAGCAGGGTCCAAGATGATCCTTCTGCCATCTATCTTAGACACATAAGGCTTACATCAACACCACTTCCACTGTTTGTTGCTCGTTATCTGCAATATAGACACGCGCACGTTAAACGCGCACGTTAAAGCATGCGTGGAAACGCCAGGAAAAATCGCACAAGATGCGACTGTAATAGACTTCGGAACGTACGAAGTTGGAAACCTCACAACAACGCGATCGTACAATGCAGCGTTGAAGGTGCCTATGTAGATGCCGTAGAATGCGCCTCTTATAATAGACGTCGCCTTTTGACTGGAGGTTGAGGGCGTTACGGAGCGTATAAATAACTTCCACGACCCCACTTGCCCTTGGTCAGCTAGATGGAGAGTTGGCGTTTTCAGCGCAAGTTCACCCTCGTTTCATTCGCAGCCTTATGAACGCTGCTATGAGCACCGCAATCGTCAACCCAAGCATCGCAGCCCCGAATAATAATGCGTGCCACAATCCATGGAACGGACGAGGCTCGTTATCAAACATATCTTGAATTTCTGCTTCCAGTCGGTCTCCCATGGCCTGCAGTGAGAACTCCTTTTCCACTCTTTCTTTGGCATTTGCTCGCATCACCGCAGCTTCTTGCGCATTCATTTCCCACAATGCTTTGTGCATGACCGCTGTCCACTCTTCAATGGCGTTCGCAGCTCTCAGCCAGCCGGTTTTCCCCTCCACGATTGTTTCTAATGGGCCCCCGTTGTTTACGGCTAGAACTGGGAGGCCTGCGTGCATCGCCTCGACCGGCACTATGCCGAAATGCTCATATGATGGGGTGTAGACGAGAAGAGTGGCTGCTGAAAGAAGGGTTTGCTTAAATGCGGACGGCACTGAGAGCAGGAAGAGGACCTCTATTGAATCGGGTATAGAAAGTGCAGATATAACTGTTTTCGACGTGGCGGTTCGTAGGCCTAGACCTGTAGCCAGATCGTCGAGATCTGTATGATATTGGACGTTTTCGTGCACGCGGTTATCGTATCCACCTATATGTAAAAAAATCAAAATAAAACAAAATAAAGAAATTAGCAACTTCATTCGAGATTATCAATGAATAAACTCTTAAAAAGTAACTTACCAGCAATGATCAACCGCGTCCCCTGCCTCCCCTCCTCCCCAAGCCCATGATATGCCCGAATCGCAAGCCCAACATCCTTCTTCCTCTCAAACCGATTAATACTCAGTAGAATCTTTTTCCCACCCCAAAGCTTTCCCCCCTCAACCAGTTTCCCTACATTCTTAGCCCCAGTATCAACACACGGATAAACAACCCTCACATCCCCAAGCCCATCCCCGAAAACTTGCCTGACAACGCCGCACGTAAATTTCGAATTAGCAACAACCTTATCCGCTGCGCCGATCGCCCACCCTTCGAACCAATCGAAGGGGTATCGGTAGCACGCTTTAACCAGCCGCCGTATAGCCCCACCCTCGTCGCGCTTCGCGAGCAATTGATCTGGGAAATGGCAGTAGAAGAGGATGCGCTGTTTACGTCTCGTTTTGGACTTTGCATTATTCCGCGACGACGACGACAACGACGACAAGAACGGCCCAAATGTTTTTAGAATAGGTACACACGCCGGCACCTGGTCAACGATATATACCTCCTCCTCCCCTTCCTCAGTTTCCCCATCCCCTCCACCCTTTCCCCCCTCCTCCCCCTTAGACGCCGCCAACAATCCCGCCACCAAATGCATCTGCCTCAACACAGCAAACAACACCCGAAACCGCCCCGCAATCTGGTCCGGAAACATCGTGTTCCCACGCACAGCCACGTCCAGCGTGCCATCGCGAGCCTCTTCGAAGCAGTGGTTCGGGTCCCGGTGCGACGTGTAGATTTTCACCCTGTGCCCGCGCGCCTGGAGAGATAGGGCGACGTCTAGGACAAGGCGCTCAGCGCCGCCGATGCCTAGGTCTGGGTGGAGGAGGGTTACTGTTCGGCGCTTTTGGGGGGGTGGTGCGGAGGGGTTTGACATTTGCTTTGGTTGGTTTGGTTGGATTGCAATTGGGATTGGCTAATTATGAGATAGGTCAGTTTTTTCTGTGGGTTATTTGAGGGAATGATATGTGATATTGGAATTGGAGTCCTGGAGGATAGAGGACAGCTATTATTTTGATAAACTAAACAAACCGAGTCGATGATGTTGATCTGGTGGTCATAGCACCTTATTTTTTTGTCATGTGATTTTAGTGTCTGTAGGCTACAAAATAAATTTTTAAGGAGTTATCAACAAATCAAATTAACTATAGGGAAATAGAATGTTATATAAGACGTGCGTAATAGGTTAACTAACAGAAGCGAAGAGAAGTAAACTACACAGGCACATAATAGAAATAGGAAAAGCCGATGTGTACAGGTTAGAAGCCGGGGGTATGATAAGAAAATTGAGTTTTTAAACAAGATGACAGCAGAGTACCCACTCAATTAATTATATGAGTGGCATGCTTGCTGGTGGAAGAGTGAAAGAACAAGTCTGAAGTTCGAATGAAGCATGCATCAGGCAAAAAGTTGATGGTAAATAATGTATCTATCCCATCTTTAGGTTTCGAGTGGGGTGGAGTGATATCAAGAAGTAGGAAGGGAGGAAGGTAAAAAGGGTGAAGGAAAAGGGTTAGGGATAGTATAACAAAAACATAAAAAAATACCAAAAGGAAATGGATAAAGAATACAAAGAGGAAAACAAAAGCAAAAAGGCAGCAACATGTACGGGGAGGGGATATATAATCAACATTCAACAGCTCAATAATGAAAGAAGAGCGTTGGAAGGGGAGCGAACGAGAACGAGAGAAGAAAAAAGAATATATCTGGGTCATAAATGACATCGTCAAGAAGCGAAATAAGGGAATAAAGAAAGGACGAAAAAAAAAGAAAGAAGAAGAAAAGAAACGGAAAAGAAACCTAGTAGTTAGAATATTAGGTATGGGTATGAGGGGCGTTGGGGGGTGTTAGGGGGAATAATAAGGAGCATATCGTCAATTTAGTTTTTAACAGAAAACACAAAAACACAAGCACGCGCATGGAAATAGTATATATCCAAGGGAAATGAAAAGGAAACCAAAGGCGGAAAGAAAACACGAAAAACAACCAAACACACAAAAAGGGGAGACACAACCTGCCTAAAAACAATTGAGCGTACTCTTCTTCTTCTTCTTACTAATAGCATTCATCTTCTCCTCCAAATGCGCCCGCGCAGCCTCCGCCTCCCGCCGCGCATTCCGCTCCTCCTCCACAGCCTGGATCGACAGTCTCGTCGAATTCCGCTCAGACCGCAGCTGCGTTAGCTCGTCCTCATACTGCCACGCCTTCTTCTTCCACGCCTCCATTTCCGTCTTCACTTTGTTGCTCTGCGCCTCGAGATCGCCCAGGGCTTCCTCGAGAGTGGCTGTTAGTTGTTTCTCAGCGTGTAGGTGTTTCTCGATCGTGCGGATGCGTGCTTCCTGGTCCTCGACAAGTTGGGCGTTGACGAGCTCTTTACTGGTATGTCGTGAGCTGGGTGGGGATATACTTCCGGTCTGTGCGGCGATGTTGGGAAGAGGAGGGAGGGGGATGGCGGGTGGAGGCGACGGCAGCGATGCTGCCGAGGCGCTCTTTCTGAGATTGGATGTCATAGAGCTGCTGCGATCGATCGATGTCGGTACATCACCATTCCGCATTTGTCCCTGTTTCATCTCTATTAGCACGGAGCTAGAAAACCAGTGGAAAAAAAAAGAAAAGAAAAAAAAAAAAAAAAAAAACTCACCTCCAATTGCTCAATACGAGCTCGATAGCTCTCAATCTCTTTCTCCAAATTCCCAATCTTGAGGTTCGCCTCATCAAGCGCCTGGTGCCTCTCCTGCTGAATCACGGAGAGTCGGTTATGATGTTGGTCGAAGGTATTGGTAATCTGCTCCTCCAGCTCCTCCACGAGACGGACGCTCTTCTGCTTCTCAATGGTGATCTCATTGATGATTGCATCCTTCTTCTTGATGAGATCCTCTTTCTCTTTGAGGGCGTCCTCATGGCTAGCGACTAGATGAGCAAGTTCTGTCATCTTGGCTTCATGTCGACTAGACTTCTCTGTTAGGTCGGCGAATTGCCTCTCGAGCTTGGCATGGCTGCTATTCTTCGCATCTAGTTCCTTCACGAGTTCTTCATTGGTATCGAACAGTGCAGAGTACTTATCAGCGAACTGCTGTTTCTGAGAAAGAATGTCGTCAATCTGCTCCTGGAGACTGTTGGCGGTAACAGGAGTATTCAAAGCTGCAGTGACACCAGACAACAATTTCGTCAATTCGTTCTTGGAGGCGGATATTTCCGCTCGCAAGGCGTTAATGGCCTGCTCGTTGCGAGCGCTCTCCTCCGCCATTTGTGATTCATATTGCGCCTCGGCAGCAGCCTTGACCTTGACCTCCAACTCTTCTAGTTCTTGCTTGTGCAATTCCTGCAGGGACGCAAGCTCCGCCTTCTGCGCCTCAACGGCAGATTTGTGGGACTCTATCTCTTGCTCTAGGGCTGTAGCGCGAGCACGGTAAGACTCTAGTTCCTCATTACTATAACGGCTATCGTTTTCCTGTTGAGAAATCTGTTCCTTGGCGGCCTCAAGCGACGATTCTAGACCGGAAATGGTAGACAAGTGAGTAGATATGGTGCTTTTCTGCTCTTCAATGTTATGCTTAAGACTACCCACAAGCTCCTGATGCTTAGCTCGCGCATTTTCAAGGCTTTTTGCAGCGACAGCTACTTCTTCCGCACTGGCTCCCTCAACTTCGTTGCGCTCACTTCGCAGGGCATCGATATTGGCGAGAGCAGCCTCTAGCTCGACCATGGTGGTTTGCAGCTGCTGTTTGGAGGACTGGAGTGATTCAGCAGCGGCACGGTGCTTGCTTTGCCACTCAGCTCGCTCTGCCAAGGCAGCTTGCAATTCAACAAGGGTGGCCTGAAGTTTGTTCTCGGATGATTTTAAGGACTCGACGGCGCCCTGGTGCTTGACTTCGAGTTCGAAATTTGCTTCGTCCAGCTGCACAATCTTCTGATCCTGAGCATTGGCCTTCTCATCCTTTTCAATCACTAGAGCCCTCTGTGTCTCCAACAGCTCATTCAAACTCTGAACTTCAGCGGTCAGCTCCTTCTCACGGGTGTCATGCGCTTCTTGCATCTCCTTGATCTGGTTCTCATACTGCAGGATCTGATCCCTCATCTGCGAGACCATAGAGATATCCATCGGCGACGAGCCGGAGAGACTCGACCGTTCCCTCGTCAGACCAGAAATGATAGTCGCCTTGGTCTCCATCTCTTTTTTGACATTTTTATTCTCAGCCTCAAGAGCTTGAATACGCTCCATGCGGCTGTGCAGCTCGTGCATGGCAGTGTTAAGGCTAACTTCGAAATTCTGCATCGTATCGGGTCTGTCTTCGAATTCTTCGATAGCGATATTTCTCAGGGAAGCGAGAGATCGATGTGCGCGGTCGACGGTAGTCATGTTCTGGCTGGTCATGCGTCGGATGACTTGGGCCTTGGGCGACGGAGAAGAGGGTGAGGAAGACTTTGTTCGCTGCAGCTCTTGTTTCAGGTCCTCGACCAGATTCAGGGTCTCTTCATGCTCTGATTGCAGCTGGGCATACTTCTGTGTCACCAAGCTCATGCCGTACTGGTGTTCTTGCAGCAGCTTGTGCATATTTTCCAGGTCACTACCATTAGGCTCATCCTTCTCGAAGGCATCTGGTAGGTCGGAATTGCCCTTGCGTCCGCTCTCCGAAGGCTCCTGTGAGATAGACGACTGCTCGGCCAAGTATAGCTCCGAGGAGAGCAATCGTGAGGATGAAGGCTGTCCGCCCGCCCTGAGCTCCTGGACTCTCGAATCTTCTAAAAAAGATACCGGCCGAGAACTTGTCATCGGGGTTGAAGCAGCCACCACATTAGGGGGGTGGCGGGCTTCGTCAACCACATCCTGAAGCTCGGCAAGAGTGCGGAGGGCTTCTTCATATTTGGCGTGAAGAAGATCGTACTCGTTGGTGGTGGTCTCGTGCTGGATTCGAAGTTCAAACAGTTCTTGCGTCACGTCCTCCAGCTTCTCCGCAACAAACCGGGATTGAGCAGGGCTCTGAGGGGGGTAATCGTAGTCTGTGGTGAGATTACGATCACTCTTTTCCCCAGAGGCCTTTTGCAGGGCTTCCAGGCCGGAATTGTCATCAGCACGGGCTTCCACCTCTTCCTGTTCAGAAGGAGCTGAACCAGCCTCTGGAAGCGTCTCCCCGAGATCATCATCGGACTCGGGAATGGCAGTTTCAACAGCTTCCATCAGTACATCGAGAGATTGAGATAGACCCCGCTTGCGGGGCTTCAGGGGTTCCCTACTTGCGACAGGAGCGGTGTGGGAATGTGCGGGATTGTAAATTTCCCGCTTGTCATCATCCGACTTAGCGCTGTTTTGTTGGATATGGTCGAGCTCGTACAATAGAGTATCGAGTTTACCAAGGCTACGCTGGCGATCAATAACGTGCTCTAACCTATCCATCTCACGCTGCATCAGCTCCATGTCTTGATCAGCCTCCGCTAGCCGTTCCTCCAGGGTTGATATATAGTCTTCGCAGCTGGCTTCGTTTTCACGCGCGCGAGCGATTTCTTTGCGTAACTCGGCGATAATAGCAGCGTTCTTCTCTTCCCCAGTGGTGTGGCCATCAAGCTTGGACTCAAGCTCGTGTAGGTAATGTTCCGTATTTGCTTCGCGATCCATCATTTTCTGAATACGGGCCTGTAGCTGCGCATTGACGGTCTCGATATAGGCACACTTGGTCTCCTTTTCCAGAAGGCTACTCTCAGTGTTAGACAGCGAGGAGCGAGTGTTGGATAAAGATGATTCGAGGCTTTGAATCGTTTTTTCATATTCCAATACAACCTGCTCGACAGACTCTGCGAAGGAATGGGAGCGCTTCAGCCTTTCCATCGCACTATCACCAAGCAGGCTTTGTAGGTCATCGGTATCCCCGCTGAAATCAGTAGCCTTGGTCAGTTCCGAGATGAGCTTGGCATGTCGTTGGCTGAGAGCGGTATAACTTTCTTGCACATCCAACAGGTGGTTCTGGAGTTCGATTTCTCGTTCATTTTGCCGTTCTGCGCGTTCTTGCG